TGCAGAAAACCCCCTAAAAAAAAAAAAAAAAAAAAAAAAAGATAGAAAGCATGTGCACATGAGCTAGAAGCACCCTCAACAGGACCTCACTGCACCACAATCGCTTCTCCCAGCCCTCCGGATCTTTGGCATCCTGAGTACCCACACCCATGCCCAGTATGTTTTTCAAGTCAACCCAGAGATCCCAAGCTGTGGTTGGCCCTATGGCTTCCAGCCTTGCAGGGTACTGCATTACCCCTGCGCTATAGCGACTGCGTCTAATGCTGTACTATTAACAGCAATCTTTGTTCTACCCCTGAAGATATCTGATTGAGTCTGAAATGCATATAATTCCTTTCTTTCAAGAAATCTAAGAAGATATAACAAAAATATAGGAAACAATGCTCAGAGGAATAGTCGTTACCAAGAGGTCAGTGGCTCTTACTAAAAATATGAGGTTGTCGGGAAAGTCATAATGTATTTTTGCACAGAAAAACACTGAAAAATACACCATGACTTTCCCAACAGCATAGTAACTTCTCAAAACACCAAACGAGGGTCAGTGTTTGAGTCCCATACATGTGGTGGCGTGGTGGTCAAAGTGGATGGATCCCACAAAGGCAACTGAGTGGTTTCAGTCCTGGACCTAGTGGCTTGAAAAACATGCCAGGCACATGTGCATGCATGCCCAAATCCTGAGAGGAGACTGGAACAGAAGAGACTGTGGTGTGGCCATCCCCATGAGAGGATGCTTTCTCATTTTCTCTCTTTCTCTCTGTCTCTCTCTGGTGAGAATACACACTCTATAGCAAATTTAAAAACAAAACAAAAAAACGCTAAAACAATCTCTAACTGACATGTGCATAGAAACATAACATCCTAGGGATGATATTATAGCAGGAATTAAATTTGACTTTGAAAAATGTCTCATGAAAACTGATTAGGGTTTTTGTGCCTGTAATGCTAATAAATATTATTTCCAAATTGTGAAAGGCCAACCAATAGACACAGAAGTAAAAACAAATACCAAAATGTACCTGTTTATCTTCCAGCAGGTCAGGCTCTCCTTTGCTAGACTCAGAGCTGACATCATCCTCATCGGAACTGTTGGTGACCTCCTCATCCGAGGGAAGGTCACCAAGACCAAGGTCGAGATCACTGTGTCCCTCCTGGGATGCTCCAGAACTGCTTCAATAGAAAGTATGCATTAGTCACCTTTAATAACAAGGAGCGCTAGCAAAACAAAACTGAGAACAAATTCCACCATTTTATCCCTGTGGTCTAAGCCAGGTACAGCCAAAGGACTCAGGAGGGATGGAAAGAGCAGGACTACCAAATTTGCCTTCCCTTTCGAATAGCTGACAGAAACCCAGATTCACATTGGGCTTAAAATTTATTTCAGTGCCAGCAGATAGCATGGAGGTTAAGTCGCTGGATCCCACATGGCTGACCATGGTTTGAGTCCCATACATGTGGGACACAATCACACCAGGTGTGTGTGTGCCCAAAACCCCAAGAAAATGGAAGAAATGGGACTGCAGCATGGCTGTCCGCCCTGGAAGTAATTTCTCACTTTCCCGCTAGCTCTATCTCTTTCTCTGGTGAACGCACATGCCCTTTAACCAAAAAAAAAGGGAAAAAAATATTAAATGTCAATTTAGTCAATTTAATTACTATCATTTTAAAGGTGGGCAGGTGGACCCAGCAGATGGCATAATGGTTACATCACGGAACTCTCACATAGTCAGCCGTGGTTTGAGTCCCAGACCCAGGAACTTAAAATTCATGCTGGGTATGTGTGCATACACGTCCAAAATCCTGAGAGGAGAATCGAAGAAAAGGATTGCAGCATGGCCATTCGGGAGGGGGGGAGGGTGGTTCCTGCTTTCTGTCTTTCTGGTGAACACATGCATCCTTTAGCAAAAGTCTCTAATTAACTAACTAAGGTAGGCAGGTCTATGAAAAGCTAGTTTCCCAGATAGCCTATTCGATGCTTCTCAGCCTTGCTTCCCCCGGAAGGTCAGGTCTCTAATTCTACTATTAACCAAGAAGCATTCTAGGGAGTGGGCTGGTTTCCCACAAAGAGCACTGACTGCCCGGGTACGGGAGGAGAGCTGTTGCTTCCTTGCACCTTAGCACTTATAACATCAACAGCAAAACCCCAACAAACCTGTGAGGGCTGGAGGGAGTGACCGGAATGTACAATGCACGCACTACCAAGGACACAGGCTCGACTCTGATTATTAGTGATATAGCTACAGCAGGAGGACTGGGAAGGAACAAATTCTCAGGCTCTGCTCCAGACCTGCCCAATTAGGAGCTCTAGAACTGATTTCAGCCATGTGTGATTCAACAATACCTCTGTGATTGTGATACAGGTTCAAAACCCACGTACCAGGCCACTAACCAACCCCCTCTTGCCAACAGGACATCTTCGAGGTCTCCCGGATGGCACTAAGACAGATCTCATGAATCTAAAAGCCATTGTTACAATCTAATCTGTGTGGGGAATTCCATAAGAAAGTTCCCCCAGGAAGACCAAGGAAACAATTCTTTCTAGTATTGGTTGTAAAGATTCAGGAACAACCTGCTCACACCAACTGCTTTCCTGTCATTTATTTAGTGAAAGCAGGAGCCAGTGAAAGAGCCACAGAAAATCATCAGGGAAAACGCTCAAGCAGAAACAGAGACAGAAGCCCATCGCTCTGGCAGGCTCTTTCCTGGGCAGATCACTCGACTGCCAAGGCTCCAAGTTCTGAGAACTTCTAACAGGAATCTTAAAAGCTGAAGCTAAATTTTCTGCCAGTTCCTGATTACACATTGTAGGATACAGGCTTGCTTCAGAAGTCATTCTGGAGCCCAACTGTTCCACAAACCAGTTGGATTGAGGCAGAATGCCAAACGGAACACCTCCCACTGCCAATGTCAAGGTTTCCCATTAGTCAGTGGCCAGGGCCTCAGGGAACCACCTCACAGACTCAGTTAGATGAGAGCACACCTTTATCATAGCTCCCCATGGCATGGGGGAGACTCACTCATTGGGAGCCAGGGAAAGGCCGGGAAAGGGCCGGAAGCTTTCTAGTCAGATTTCTGTCAAGATCCACTATCTCTGATTGCAGGGATAAGAGCCAACCCAGCTGGGTAATGAGTTGTTTCTTTTTTTCCTTTTCTTTTTTTTTGAGAGGTTTTCACTATAGGGTGTGTGGGCTCACCAGACAGACAGAGAGACACAGAGAGACAGAAAGCGAGAAATCACTCCTCAGGGGGGATGGCCACGCCGCAAGCCCTTCTCCTCCATTCTCCTCTCAGGATCATGGGCATGCACACAAATGCGCCCAGTGTGAGTTTAAGCCACCGGGTCGGGGACACAAACTGCGGTAGACTACATGGGAGTCCAGCAACATAGCTATTATGCTAACTGCTGGTCCCACTCCTTATCTCTTTACATTCTTTAAAATCTTCTTACTCAAAACATGTTCAATTTCTGAGCAGCATCACCTGGCAGCTTCTTAGAAATGGAAAATCTGGCCTTTTGGCCAGAACTGTCATCTTCCAGTAATTAACTAAAATGACGAACACAAAGAGAAAGAGGAGAGGCACCGATACATGGTCTCCAGGCCTTTTAGAAAACACAGAGTGGTTCCTTTGGCAAAATATATGTGAATCTACAAGAAACGTGATATTGTAGACATCAAGGAAATAGGTACTCTTCAAAAAGGAATGCCTCAGGGACCAGCAGTTGGCGTAATGGCTATGTCGCTGGACTCCCACGTAGTCGACCGCGGTTCGAGTCCTGGACCCGGTGGCTTGAACTCACGCTGGGCGCATGTGCGTGCATGCCCAAGATCCCGAGAGGAGAATGGAGGAGAAGGGA